GCTCATTTCTGCTGAAGAAGGTATTTTTATTTTATAAGAAGTTTCCCTCACATTCAAACAGAGAACTTTTAGAAGAGGTATTTTGCCTGGTGTCGGCAGAGCTATGAGGAAGAACAGGCCGAATAAAGTGTGGAAGGTGGCTCTGAATGCAGTAGGATAACCCAAAAATATGTCACAGGACTACTTCAGGCTTCTTCTACCAGAACCTGAGATTATCATTTCAGAGACCAAAATCGTTTCAACTTGAAAAAAATTACATCCATGAATGACCTGGAGTCTAGCCCAGACAGCAGATTTTGCAGGAACAACAGAGATCTTTTAGAGACACATGGAAAGACTGTTCCCACATGTTGAAAAGGTAATTAGGCAAGGGAAACAAACAAACAACAACAACAACAACAAAAAGTTTGAATGAGATTTGGCCAGATGAGTGGGAGCTACAATGGCCTCATAGGAAAAAATTAAAATATTAAAAAGCAAACCCCATTAAAGATAATCAAATCTCTAAATTACAGTGGAAGTGTGCTGTGGTATTGAGATGAACAGCCAGGAGCAGCAGTGCCAGTCTACAAGGGCTGGAAATGCCCAGCCACAGAAAGCACTGAAGGCCGTAGGTACAGAAAGCCTTTGCAACACACCTGGAGAGAAGGCAAGGAGATATTCTGGGAGAGGACTGGTCTGGAAAGGAACTGAACTGTAAGCAAGGGAGCAGACTCCAGTTTTATTACTGCTGCATCCAGAATAATGCTTTCTGAAAAATAAATACTTGACTGAAATGTGCTTCTCCTAAGGAGAATCAGCTTCCTGGACCCCACTTGGGCTAGCTGTATAGACCAGAATGCAGTGACATTTATTGGAATTAGTTGTACCTGAAGGCTACAACAGCTGCCAGCACCACACAGGCTACACAGACTAAGGAAAATTACACTTGGTGCCCAAAAGAGTCTATAAGATTAACAGGAATTAGAGATTTGTAGAAAAAGATTCACAGGACTGAGTTAAGACCATATACAGAAAGGTCAGCAAAACCAGAATCCTGCTCTCAGCCCAGTGCTTGGTTCAATTCTGCCTCTCCAAGCTTTCTCAAGAGCATATTTCCAAATCCACACCAATGAAAATCTGTGGCTCACTGTTTAAGGTAAACATGCTGTTTGCAGAAGCCTTTGCATTTCACACATTAGATTGAGTGTAAAAGGATCATCACCGAGAAACTCATAAACACAAGCGCATTTGGAACACAGCTCTGTAATCACTCATGTTTCACTCTTTATATTGCTTCATTAGAGACTCATGCTTAACTGTTCCATTTCAAAAAATGACGAAATCAAGCCTTCATGATGGGAAATTTGCACCGAAATGCAGTCTGAGTTCCTGAACCATGTCTCTAAGCTGAAGACAATTTGATAGATGGTGCACTGACCACACAGGCAGGTTCAAAAGAAATCAGTTCAGAGTTCTGGAGAATTTTGAAAGTATTTTTGATCAATGGTGTTTGGAAGTCTCAAGAACATTAATTCCATAGCCAGTTTGCCAAAATGTCTACCTTAGACACAATTTATGAGCGTACATGTCAAGATATATTTAGAATCCTTTGAGACTTCCAAGTACATGAACAACACACGTATCATTACTACCTTTTTTTAACTAGCATCATATAAATCAAGTGAGAGAGCCAGGCTTTCTCAACTAAGGAAAACCACTGAACTTAAAATAACAAAGGTAGTACTTATTTATTAATGTACAATGTCCAAAATTCCTATTAAATTCTGTCAAGAACAGTTTAATGCAGCTCACTCTCAGGAATTGAAATTAACACATGCTTACTTAGAGGTTAAATCCAGCACTTTGCTATATCTGTATTTTTCATTTATAAACTGAAGGTTAGGAAGTCCGTGGCTTCTAAACTGAAAAGGTGTGAAAATACCAAAGAAAAAATAAATGGAAACACCATCTGAATTTGCCTATTGTCTTTTCACTCAGATATTTATAAAGTGCTCCGTGTCAAGGTACCATAAGGTGTTAATTTATAAAGTATTTAAGGCTGGTAATAAATCAGAGCCTTTTCTTCATGCTTTCTGAGATGGCAATTGTGAATCAGAAGGTTTTGGAGTTTCTTGACAGCCAGTTAATGCTTTTTGATGGGGAGTGTTGTCAGTAGTCTAAAATATTACTCATTCTGGATGGTGAATAATGGTAACTGAGGACTCAGCAATGAAAGATTAGCATTACCATTTTCTTCATTTCTCTCACCGAAAAGATTGGCAGTAATACAAAAAGTCAGAAGGATCATGAGATAGCACTTTTGTATTCTGTATGAAAATCAAGATCAAGTGAGCTTTTGCCCTGCTGGTTGTTAGGAGATTTCTGGCCTCCCTGAGTACTCCTTAGGACATTTGTGTTATGCTTTTGTCAAAGGCTTGGGACAAGCAGTGGTATTGTAAGGTAGCTATTTTGATTGTATTCCTCAGCATGCTGAGACCATCTAGAATGGACACAAACTATGATAGGGTTGGCATCTTTTTCTTTTTTCTTTTCTTTTTTTTTTTTTTTCACAAATACCTTATAGAGTTGCCAGGAGTTTTTCTGCACCAATTATGACTTAGAGAGGGGGAGTAATCTTGACTGTTGCTGTTCCTTGGATAGTCACCCAACCAACACAACTGTTACCCAAGAGTTTTTATAAGAACAACATGAAAGGGCTTGTCATTTCCTTGTCTGATTATAATACCCTGAATGATAAGGACCAGTGTGTAGCTCTATAAAACCCTAACTTCATTCAAATTGGTTTCCTTGAGACTGACTCACTGTCATTTCTCTAAACTGTTGCAGCTGAATCCTGGTGCAATTCTTCATAACAATAACTGCATTTGCTTTTGCTGTCAAGAAGACTCATTTGAACTTTTTTTTTTGAACACACGCATATTACCCTTGGCAAGATGCAAAAGTCAATTTTCTTGAATAAAATTGTTCTTAAGTGCTCTCACTCTAGTTCTTTCACTCTTAAAGGGCAGTTTAATATAACTTTTTCCTGGACAGTGAAAAAAACTACTGTGAATATGTATCCTGGGTGTTAATAACAAGTTTAGAGAGCGTTTTTCAGAAAACAAACAAACAAATCTAAAAATCTACTCAATCTACATACCAAATTATTTAAGTAAGCATTGTTATTGAATGCAGCATGGACAGAAAGGAAGACTAACAAGATGGTATTATTTTATATAATTGATGATATTATTTGGAGCAGGGCACCCAAAATAGACCTGGTAAAAGCAGAGCCATAGCTCTGCCTTCTTTCGAACCAGTAGCTGGTCACACTGAGAACATTTTGGTCACCATAGCAGACCTCAGAGAGATGCAGGAGATATCCTGTCATGCAATGTAGTTCTGATATGACAGTATGTCCGTTAATGAGCATCGATTGTTCCTGGTGATCTCCTTTGTTTTGGTACAACAGCCTTTGGCTTTCCCAGGGGTTTATCTGCTTCTGGTACTTAACAGGGAGACCACTATTTCCAAGCCTTCAGGTGCAACTCCATCCACATCAAACAATTCTATAACAAAGAATCCTTTCCTGCTTACTACGTCCCATATAGTTTCTTGAGCATCTATTTCAAGTGGAAAATTCTGAAGTTTTGTTCTCTTTCCCAGATGCTTTTTTGAACTCTCACCTCTCAAATGTCTGCACTCCACCTTCTGTCTTTCGTTCAACCTCTCATACACTCCTTGGCATTCAGATCTCTTACTCTTCTCATTTTCTACATTGCTCAATGTCTCAAACCCTTATTTAAGCATGAAAATCTCATTCCAATCATTACACAGTTGTGGTGGATCAATTCGAAAAGACCAAAGGCACTGGATGTTTGTCAGCAGAGGAAAGACGTGAGCAAACGGGCAGCACAGCAAACCTTTGTACTGTCTACAGCACACAGAAGAGATGCATTGCAGATGCCCAAGTAAGAGAAAAATATTGGTAATAATGACATTGCACCTTCTATGAAGGCCATAAAGGGTCTTTGTACAATGTACAGTATGAATAATGTTAACCTCCTTTGCTAAATTACTTCTGCACAGTTTTAAACTGACTCTTGCTTTAGCACTTCTTCCATATTTAGTATCACAATGGGTTTGCAAAACTTGAAGCTTCACATTCAAATGGGGCCCCTGGGGTCTGTGATATCTCAGAACAAGAATTCAAGCATGAGAAAACACCATGAGCAAGACCTTTCTGCTCCCCCAAAATCATTGACCTATCAGGTATGGCATATTTAGTGGCATATTTACTTTTGCTGTAAACTTTACATGAAGTCTTAGAACAGTCTGGACTTTGAAGGACCTCTTAGGAAAAAGAGACAGTTCTAAAAGTGTCACCTTGTACGTGTCAAATGATGCAAAGCCTGTATGGCTTTATTGCCATATGTATGGGCCTGTTAGGGCTTTATTGAGAGAGAGAAAAAGAGAAAGAAAAATTTGATAAAGGAGGAGATTACACATGACTTTTGAGTTTGCAAAATAAATTTGATTTGGCAAGCTGGAGCAGCAGAGCTCGTGCTCTCTGAATTGGAGGTTAGTTTCAGTTAATGGAAAATTTTAGTTCTGAAAGAACAAAAAATATGTTAATACACTGTAAGTCAGTAAAGACATCTCACAGCTGAGAACTGGCAACAGGCAAAGTCATTCCCCTCTAAAATGTTACCTGAGGGAATTTAAAATAATTTTAAATTTTATACCGCTATGACTTTATTTCATCTTAAAAGAAAGAGAAATTACATCCATATATAAATGTTTCTTCTCCTGTGTTGAAGTGATTATATATATTTTTTTTCCTAGAAATACTGCATAGAAAATGATAACTCTCTGCAAAGAGACACTAAGGTTTGACCATCACTGAACAAATCATTCTAAAGAAAGTTTACAGCTTTCCCCCAAAGATTTAAGGGCTGTCAGGAAAACTCAAATGGAAAGCAAGGCGGTGGTAAGAATTTTTCACTTAAGTTTCCTACCAGGTTGTCTTCCAATGGGCACAGGCACTTAGTTCTCTGCAAGGGAGGGCTTTGCTTGGAGCTGATCATTGTGAAATACTCCAGAGGTGCATGGCAGTTCCTGTCTCCTCTCACTGGCTTTATGGTCATGTCATCAATGGTGCTAGAGATTTTCCAGGCCATGCAGAAGGACATGCCTTGGCTCACCAGCGCATATATTCCAGTTGCATTTCGGTTGGCCATTTCCATGACAGTCAATATTCACACTTCCAAAGAGAAGCAAGAACATTGGGGCTAGGCCAGGATAACCTATAAGAAGTACAGAATAGTGGATTATTCCCTTCTCCAAAGGTGGAGAATAATACAAGAAAGGTGATGATCAGCCACCGTCTTCAGCTTTGGTCCTGTGTCTTCTAAAGAAATAGAAGGAGCTGGAATATGATTTGGAGACCTCATGTTTTCAAGGAGGGGGGAAAGGAAGAGCCACAACATGGCAGACTGCTGTGTGGATCTCCTTGGAGTAATAAATGTTTTTCACATGGATTCCAGGGCTACTGCAGTGACAGCCATGTCTGTGGCCTCTCCCGTGACTGACCAAGAAGGTGGAAGGTCTGTAGAGTCCCCTTGGATTCTCTGCTCCTGTTTCTCCCTGTGCACTTTTCCCACATTGTAGAAGGCTGCAGCTCTCCATCTGATGTAAAGACATAACAAGTCTGCTGGCTGCTCTGAGGAGACTTCCTCAACAGCCTTCTCCCTAAAGCTATCAACCAGCATCCAGATAGCAGAGTAGTTTTCACATTCCTGTGGGGCTCACAGTGATTTCACTGTTCTTATCCACTGCAAATCACACTTTGATCCATAAAGGCTTGTCTGTCTTGTCTATCTTTTAGGAACATTGCTCTGAAAGTAATTATGGTTATGTTTGCAAAGAAGCAGCCACAGGTGTTGCTGCTGGGAATGAGTGAATCCTCTGTTAAAAGTTTTAATAGAAACTAATACTAAGAAATGCTTACATTAAAGTTCAACATTAAACATAGTACAGGAGGTAGAAAGACCAATTAAACACACTGAAAAGTGAAGGGAAATGTGGGGGTGGAAGAAAAGTGGAGATATTTTGCTGTTCCCTGACTGTTGCCCTTGAGAAAGTCATTCCATCCGGAATTTCACCAATGCCATATCCTTTGTAAGGTCTCAAAACCAACATTTAAATATATTTTTAAGGATAACCATGTCTGAAAGTTAAAGCCCTTTGGGACAGAATAAAAGAAGGACTTCAAAGTAACAAAACGCTAAATCTGGCAATTTGTTTTTAATGGAAGTAAAAACCTGCACAGTTTTATATTTTAAAGTGCAATAAGAGAGAAAATGTCACAAGTAGAGTTCAATTTCTACCCGTGGAATTGTGCCCCGATTTAACAAATTCCAGCTTAAATGCTTCCACCACAACTGAAAAATGTTTTATTGACCTCAAGCTCATTGTACAGCAGAGGCCCAACAGTATTGCTAGGACTGGGATCAAAGAATCATATTTTCAGAACAGCAGACTAGCTTGATGTGCACAATATCCAGCTGGCTAATGGTTTGTAATCCAGCAAGTGCTAGAACCCCCCCCTTTTTTTTTTTTTTTTTTTTTTTTTTTTTTTTTTTTTGTGGGCTTTTGTTCAGGATGGGCTTCTCCATGTTGCATCAGAATGTATTTTGTTTTCAGAGAAATGTCTGGTCCCTCCTCCATTACAGAGCATTGCTGCACATGGACCTGATTTGCCTTAAATCAGACTTCAGCCATACAGGATAACCAGCCTGAACGCTGGCATTCAGCTACACTTACCAGAGTGACCTCTGCTGTTATGGCTTTCCTTTAGTCATGAAAAAGTCACTGCTTTTCTGTGTATTAAACTGCATGAAATCAGTGGATTTATTATTATTATTATTATTATTGCTAGTTAAATCATGAACAAAATCTATTCTACCCACATAGTTAAAAATAAGTATCTTTTTTTTTTTTTTTTTTTTTTTTTGGTTATTATTATTTTCTTACGAGTTCAGCTTTCATGTAACTGAGTACCTGGTTTTAATACTCTGGACATGGGACAGAATTCTGAATGCTGCCACCAAACTGATGCATGTCCCAAGACATTTGTCAAGATCTGCCTCAAAAGGTAAAACTGATGCAGTAAATATCATTGTCTATGTGCTGGGTTATTTTCAGATTTGCACAGTGGGAAACTGCTGTCTTGGATAATACAATGTCTGCAAGTTATTAAATTTTGACCATTGAACCTACTGGTACTTAACAGGGATGTTAAGATTAATGTTTATGATGTGTTTTGGAGATGAAAGCCACATCAAAATGTGATTTATGATTTGGCTGCTCAGCCAGCAGGGCTAAATGGTGGGAGCAGCCTGAAACTGCAGTCAGGGCAAAGACTAATCGGCTTCGCCCAGCCCCTGGCACTGGGTCTCCTTAGTGTGAAATTGTAGAGTAGTGGGGGGACCTAGCCAGGATGAAGGATACTGAGCTGTTTGTTTCCAGACTGGCTTATCTGGCTAAAATATATACACACATATATATACATGTATATATATATATATATATATATATATCTTATATCAGCTAAAATGCAGTGTTCAGGCAAAGATAGCACATTTTGCAAGGACAAAAGCACAGTTCAGAGTCCCTGCCTGAGTACCCGAGGAGACCAGATATTGTCAAATCACTTTGTACAGATCAGGTGGACTAAAGGGGTATTGAAACTCAAATGTGGATAATGGAAACCCCATTAATGAACACTGGGGCTTCACAGACCAATTCAGAATACAACCACTGATCATTTAGAAACCCAGAAGACTGACATACAGAGTAAGGAACTGCCTAGAGCAGTTCCTTAGGAGGTGTTAAATACATACACATGTGTTTGAACTCCTCTCCCTATGAGTTGAGTCTGGGTGATCTCTTCTGACTTAGGAGTCAACCAACTCTGGGTAAGCACTAAAATGAGTATCTCTAAGAAAAAAACTCAGCAGTCCGCCCATGGCAGAGGTTATGTTTTATTTTATGAAATTTATTTTTTTCACCAAAATTCTTAGCTCTTCTCCAGAGTTGTCAAGATACAGACTAGCCTGGCTGACAGAGAAAAAGAGATCATGGATTCTCTGTTCTGTTGAACCTGTGTTGCAATAGAGCAAGAGTTATATGGTCAAGAAGTAAGGTCTGCAGTCAAATCTTCCCTGTGCCATTGGAGTGCCCTTGTCTGTACACTACTGACCACCTTCTCTACTTCTTCTCTTACATTTTTCAACCCATTAATAGCTTTGGCCAAACCATCCACTTGACATATGACTTATTAGCTGCAGAAGACTAAAGCTGTTCAGACTAAAGCCAAGACAACAAAACTGACTGAATGGCCCAATACTGTTGCGTTAACGTAATCCTAACAATTCAACGCACTTCGAAAACAAACAGCAAAATAAATTTTGCTGTCATCTAGTTTCTTTTGTCTAGATCTCCTGAAGTCATGAGGCAAAAGATCCATCTATACAGTCTTCCTGCTCAGGAAACAGCTCATTAAGTCTTTAATTGAAGAGAGAACTCTCTTTTATTTTTATTGGAGAAAGGAGCAGAGGAAGGACCAGGCATATTCCCATATGTTATTTACAAATACCCCCATTTTTTTTGGTGCTCATAACAATTAGCATTTCTGTGCCAGAGACAATTTACTAGTCTCTGTCTGTGCTGAGTTTGGCTGTGTCTCAGCTGCAGGCAGGGTGAGCTCTGCAGCATTTTGCCATGCTGGGTTGCCTAATTATCCATATTACCCTCATCTGGAAACCAGGGCAGATGGTCAGACAAGTGTGCACCCATGTCTCTTCCTAATGCATAGTTAGGATGTAATAAGTGCAGCCCAAGACCCGGCAGCTGGGAAAGGTTCCCACATTTTGGGTGTATCCATTCAATTTCTGGAGGATTTTGGTGAGAAGTTTGGCATAAACTAAATAAGCACAACATAGCAACGCTACACTCATGATTGATGTAGAGTATGACGCCTCTCAAGATGTTTCCCTCTTTTCTGCAGTGTCCCAGATATCTTAGCCAAGCAGATGTTCACCATTATTTTGAGCCATGGAAAAATGTAGGATTCACACTAAAAGAAAAAACACAGAACGTGGAAGACATCTGAGCTATTCTCTGTTTGCTTTGTCTTATAAGTCATTGGGAATTTGTGTGCGGTGATTTTTTGTTTTGTTTTGTTTCTTTCTGAGTCAGAGCTGGAATGTGGACACATTCTGGTGGGACCTCACTGTTCAGCACCTTCAACCACTCGGGTAGGTGAGGCCTGCATCCTTCTCTCACTTTCTTGTTTGTATGTAAAAAAGCAACACATTTTTGTGAAGCATTCAGAGGAAGAAATAAGAGATCTTTTTGATAATATCCCACTCAGATTCTTGCTTTAGCATGTTCCTGTGCCCAGTGTCTGTAGGAGGAAAAACCTAACAGCCCTCAAGATGGCATGGCTGCCAGCTCCATTGTCTTTCTGGGGATAATGTTTCTCCTGTAATTATAACCCAAGTTCACTTTCAGCCATGAATCTTTCAATTTCTGTGAAATTTCAGGACTTGTTTCTACCTTGTATAAAATACACTCCTTGAAGTTTTCCATGAAAACTGCTGGTGATAAAAATCCCCTATTGTCTGTTGTTGGCACAGAAGAAAGGCTGCTGGAACATGGCATGTAGCCATTCACTCCCACCTTTCCTTCCCAACATTGTCCATTATTAGCAGAGTCATCACTGACCCAAATAAATGCATTGTTCCTTGAGGCAGCGAGAATAATTTTATTCTGAACTGATAAAGCTTCTCCCTGACTATTTACCACTTGGACGCCGTTACAGAAAGATGGTCCCCATCTGACTTGGCAGTTCTTATTGGAATAACCCCAGATCTTCTCTATACTCCAAGCAATTTGACCCATTTCTTTCTCTTCAGCAGCACATTTACCCATGAAGCACCAAAGAACAGAAAGCTTACCAGAGAAGGAAAGTCCAAACAACTCTCCAAGGGCTCGCCATTCTTCCACCTCATCAGGAGCTGTAGTATTTAGATAGGGTAAGATTTATTCAGCAACTAGCTAGCCTGTTTACAGTACATTTCAAAGCAAACACAGCTGCTGGAAATGCTGCCATTTCAGATTCTCGTGTGAAAGGCAGTGCTTATTGCACGTGGCTCCTCCTTCCAGTTCAAGCCAAGCCAAGCACTGCTGCTCAGCCTGTGCTGCTCTTCTACAGGATCAGGTAAAGACAAGATCAAGTACTCATTGGCTTGGCTGCCCATCAGCTTTCCCCTGGGACCAAGGGATGCTGCGATTGCTGAGGAGAAGCCAGCTCTGTGGCACTGCCAATGTCTGGCTCCTTCCAGCTTTGCCAGGCCTGTGAATGCTGCTGCTTGGTACATTTTGTGCAGCTTCAGGAAACGGCAGTTCTGCTGAAGGTCAGGCTTTGTGAAACAGACACTTTTCTTTTCCCTTTTCTGGGGATTTTTTTTTTTCACTCCCTCCTCACCCCACACTTACCCTGGGCCTCATCCAAGAACAACCCTCGTGCCATTCTCTCCCACCAAAGGCACAAAGAACTTCTTTTACCGACCCACTGGCTATTCAGGATACAAAGAAGTTAAACTAACAATGTGGTAGTGCAACAGCCCATTGAAGGCAGGTCTGGATGAGTCACAGAAATACAGTGTAGGAAGGGATTTAAGAGGCCACCTTCCCCTCTCCCCCAAGGCAGCAATAAGTATTTTCTCCTACACCATTTTCCAGTGTCTCTGCTATTTCTGTTCCTTTGGAGTACAGCAAGGTCTGGGTTTCTTCCCTGGAATGATAACTATTGCCAGGATTTATCACTCCTTGGAACAAGTTTGCCCAGTCCTTGTGCTTATTAAAAGAATATACCACCTTTAGCTGTGGAGTTTAAGCTGAGAAAAAAAAAATGCTATCAGAAAAATAGCATTTTAAGTACACATTTAATCTTTTCTTTTTGGACAGAGGTGAATAATCTGCTCTGAAAGTATTTCTGTTTATAAGACGTTGGTTGCCTACCAGATGTGCTCAGGGCAGAGAGAGTGAATGCTAAATGTTCTGTGCTGTTAGTGGCATCATTTCCAGTTACCTGCTGTGGTATGCAGAGATTTAGAAAGAAAGTTTGAAAATCTAGAAAGAAATCTGGAATTAGTGCATTCAAGTCCTTAAAAAATGTGAATGATAGTACCACACTTAGGTTTGTACTCAGCCATGGTTGGAAGTGGCATCACCTCAGCATTACTGCCCTGACAACACCCATCAGAGATTTCTGCCCCTGCAGCCAGTTGTAAAAGAGATGTCCACCTGGTAATCCTAATTTTGTAAGGGAATTTGTCCTTCACTGAGTCCAGTCACCTTTTGTCACAGATCCAAATCATGCATATTATCCTCTTCTGCCACTCGTGCCCCATTTGCACTGTCTTCACCTTTTATCTATTTTATTCCAACTAGAGCACTGTTCTCATTGCTCTACTGAGTAGGAAAGGTCTTCTACCATCTTTTGGACTAAATATGAGTATAGAACATAACACCAGCCCTTCACACATCTCAGAGGATCTACAGCTTCTGCAGCTCCTAAGGTCACAGTGAATAAACAGCCCCAGGAGTGTGGCATCCCAGATGTGTGGGTACGACAGTCTCTGGTGATATGGTAGGACCAGAACCATGGTCCCCACTAGTGTGAGAGCTCACAGGTTTTGAAGGAAATCTCTGCTGGGTGCAGGTGCTGCAGAAGTGCCTAATGGTAATGCTCTTTCACTCCTACAACACGTGCACAATGCCCAGGAAGCTCTGCTCTTTATGGGAAGGTGAAGCACTACCATGGGTAGCAACCTACAAGAACACACAGCACACATAAAAATGCCAAAAGCTGTTTGTGTCCTGCATCTGAGAACACAGAGACCACTGGGGACCTACAAGGAGTTTTCTTTCATGTGGTACCACCTGGTATCACACGGAGGCTAGCTGAGGGAAGGGTTTCCTTGCTAATGGAGAAATAACATTTCAAAAAAGAGACTGTAAAATTAAAGCCTACTACTGATCTGAGGGAGTTTTAGGTTTGCAGCTGTGCAGTTCTTGTTCTGCATCCACCCACAGGCACCGATCACAGCCCATGGGTTCCTCAGCTGTTCCTACAGCACTTGACATTGTCCAGGATAAGCCCAACACAGTCCCTTGCTATGTGCAACCCTGTTACTCACCAGTGAGACACGGCTAAATAAAAGGGCACCTACTGTATTCTGTCTCTCTGCCAATACCATTAAAAAATATCACTACCGTTATTTTCAATGGGATCAAAATGATTTTCACATCAAGGTCTCGGGAACAAAGGAAGCTTGTCATCTACAGGGTAAATATTAACCACCTTTTGACTATTAGCAACCTAATTAAATGCTTATATGGAATACTTCCTGTGTATGTAAAACCAGGACATTAATTCTGTTGGGTATAATCTGTGGGTACTGTAATTACTGTAAAAGAAGACAAAAGGGAAAGCCAAAACTAACAAGCAAACAAACAAAAACCACCAAAGCAACCAGCCCTTTCATATTTTCATTTTAAAGATGTAATTTTGATGCTGAAAAAATTAAAGAAGCAGAATGGGCTTAGTTCAGCCTAAAAAGTTTCATAACATTAGGTGCAGATCATTGTTGGCTGATAGCAGTAAAATTATTACAGTGTTTTTAATGATTTTCTTTAGGGAGGGGGCTTAAAGCAAAAACTGGTTTGCCTTTTTTTTCTTACTTTTTTCTTTTTTTAATCATAGTCATTATTCTAAACATTTGTGGAATTGACCTGGAAAAGCTTCAGCCATGGCTTATTTCAAGCAGAAACTGAACTGAAAAATGTGTTGGTTCCTCTCTCTGGGCTTTGCTAAGTTATTTTGTAATAAAGCTGCATGGAAGCAAAAGCACTGAACTTCAGCTTTCTGGAGGAGCTTGGAAATGCTAGGCATGCTTCTGCACAAATCAGAGCAAACTCCCAAATTTTTTAAGATTATCACAAATACAGATTTTCTAGTTCACCAAAATATTTCAATTTTAAAATAAAATCATTTGATTTTAATTTTTAGAGGCCACTTGTATGCAAGTTAAAAAAATACAAAAAATATATCAAAAGAAAAAGTCAGTAGGTTCCATTTCCAATTTTCCAAATCAAATGTTTTAATTCTTTTGTAATATTTCAATAATTTTCTTCTGATATGCAAGTAACTGACCATCCTTTTAGAAATGTGTTCATTTTGAGACCTATCTTAGCCAAGTTTTATCTCATGCAAATTTCTCTGACCAAATCTTTTATAACAAAAGCTAAGTTAATTATGCACATGTAAATTGTTTTCCATAGAAAATGCTTTCTTATTTTTTATGAATGCTGAAGAGTTGTGTGAGTAATTAACAACACAGATGAAGATCCATTTTGATTAGATATGGCATTAGATGCACTGAATTAGCCTCAGGAAGTTAACAGGACCAACAGGACAGAAGTTAACAGGACTCTTTTCCAACATAAAACTAGCACGTGCCAACTACTTTATCGAGCTGGAACATAAGACTGCAGACACATAAGATCTGATCTCAGCTCCCACCCCTGCCATAAATGTGACAGGTGACTTTTTGGACATATGTGTGTTACAAATGTGCACAGCCTGTCAGAACAAACCAAGCTTAAATGCATGAATAATAACAAAAATATGAATTCATCAGTGTTCTTCTGAGAAGGGCTTTGAGCATACCTACAATGCAAGCAGCTCACTGCAGAGTATAACCTCCAATTCAGTATTCACGTATGAGGAACACTAACAGCCTGAATGAGTTTTATGTTTGTTAAAGCTGCTTACTGACCTGGTAATCAAAAGAGAATATTATCCAGGAAATCGTAGACCCAAATAATGATGCTTTTCTCAGTATCTCTCAGTCCAGAATATTTTTTCTTTTTTACAATAAGCTCCTGATTCTAACTTGCAATAAAAACATCTGCAAGCTTCCAGTGGGTTTAGTCAGCTCAGACTGATACAACAAAAGCAGGGGAAGTGAAATCCTGGCATGATCTACATAAGACTCCTTTTAATATACGTTTTCCATACACAGGCTTATATTACAGAACAGCTAATCAATGGAAACATTGTGCTGGCATCTGTGGGTAAAATCTAGACCTTGATGTTGACACCTTTCAAATATTTATAGTGGTTATTGTATCAACGCCTTAGTGATCTTGCAGCCAAGTTACACACACGTGTCCACGTTTTCATAAAGCAGTCTCTAACAGACAGCGTCTTTTTTCTGCGGACTGAAGCATGGATCAGATTTATAAAACTAATATATTTCTGCAAGTGTTCACTTCAATTACATAATTGATAGGCATGAAAAAGATGGATATGCACTATATTTGGTGCGTGATATTTGGTTGTCAGTGTTGAAAGCATGGGTCCTGATTCCACATAAATATATCCAATGGCAACGAGAGGACTTTTAGGATGGCTGAGGTCTTAGTCCTCTCTAAGTGTTCTCCCTCACGTGAAATACATCAGAGCAAACATAGGCTGTGTCTAGAGCACAGAGCAACCCCTCTAAGGTAGCAATATTCTGGGAAATCTCTCCATGGTGACAACATGGCTTGTCCTTATCTAGGCTTAGTTTAATTTTTCCTCCCTAAAAATGTGTCTGGCTGCAATTTGACTATGCCTCTGTCCATAAGAACAGAGGACCATTGGTCTCAGTTCTTTCTCTGTGTTCTCTCTCTATTATTACATATGGACTGAAACTGAGTCATCTCTTGACCTTTTTATTCAGACTTCTTCCTAAGAACTTGCTTCATAAATCTCTCATTACACATTATTTTATTTGGCCATGAAGTAAATTTTGATGCAATGAAATCTTTTTTTTTTTCCCTGACCTCTGTCCTGTCTGATAACTTCTTTACTAAAGTTCAGATGCCAGAAACAGACAGAGTATTCCAATATCTGCCTTATTAAAGCTTTTTATGGAGGTAAAGTCACTCAATCACACTGCTCCTCTGATTGCCCAGAAGAACCTTGGAGTTTACACGCCTCTTACAGTGGTGCACAGAAGAAATGCCTTTCATCTTGACATGCACTTAGTAGGGATAAAATTTTACACAGGACAGTCTGTCTCCATGTGTAGTGTTATAGAGATACCATGCCATGAGAAATTATTAGAAGCAGCATTCTTAATAGCTTGTAGTTGTAGTTAAATCATTGGTGATGTCTCAGTGACACTGTGAGTAAAGGCTTGTCAGTGTTTCCATTATATTTGTCTGTGTTTCGGAATGTTTCAGATTACATTAAGAAGAAAAATGCAGCATTTTGTTTGCCAGACAGGATGTAAATGGCTTTGCAATTTTCAGTAATGTTCTAACCCATACTGAGTGTAAGAAGAAGCATAATGTTCCCACACATGGGGTTAGCGTACTGTGATGAGGACAGTTTTATGGCCTTCTTTATTTCTTTGAAATGTGATGAGAAAGAATGAGGATTTTATTTCTGTTATTTAAATGTTGCTTGATCAGCAGTCTGACTCCTGTGTTTGTGCACATCTCCTGGGAATCACAGAGGACTCCAGCAGGCAGGTGCCCAGCTCTTCAGGAAAACATTAGCATACAAAATATTTAACAATGGCACATTTTCTCCCAACTGTTTGTCAGACATTTGAATAAAACGTTTGATTATACCACAAGC